CTCTGGCACAGGATCGGGAACGTTGTAAGCGCTGTTTGACGCGTCTGCCTCCTCGATCCGAAAGGAGAAGCGGCGATGGAAGACGAGGATGAAAAATGAACATGAACATGAAAAACGAGCACGAATTAACAACCAAACAAGCCGTGACTGAGTCTGCGCACGCGCGATGACACCATAAAACGCAGCTTTCGAGGAGAGAACTGCGATGGAAGTACGCGGGGAGCTGATGATGGGTCAGCCAAGGATAAATAATTAGGCGCGATCGACTACGGGAAAAGCTCTAGAGGAGGGCTCCCACGGTCAGAGTGCAGAAACATCAGTGAACATACAAACCTGAATGATTTTCTTGTCCTGCATGCCGGCCAAGAAAATGTTTTGTTTATCTTCATCTGGATGAAATTTGATACAGTACGGCACCTTTCCGGTGGTAAACCGCTGCTTGCATTCACCTGCAAATACAAACAGAGCGCTTAAATGAACAACACAGAACCACGATATATGCGTTGATTCACAGACCTGTTTCTGCGTCCCACAACTTTATGTAGCGATCGTAGGAGGCGGACAAAAACTCGGTTCCAGCATTATTAAAGCACACGTCCCGAACAGCCATTTTGTGCCCAACGTACGTACGAATACAGCGTCGCTGTTTATAAACTTCCCACAGCTAGAACCAGAAATCTTACATAAGTAAACGGCTGAAGAACTGAAGCCTCGCGCACACCTGTAGTACAGGTTGCAATTAGCAGCGAACTCCTTGAAGATGCCAAACTTAAGCCTACGCTTCAACCTACGAAAGGGCTCCTCATTTCGTTCCACTGCTGCTTCTTACTCTGTCGCGATGTGCTTATAACCGTCGATAAGCAAATACTCACAAACAGTCATCAAATCAGCAAATAAGTGCACTCGGTGTTTATGGCGAAATTAGCCGTTGGCTATAAAAGCTTAGGTCATTTCTGAATATCGAGCGAACGTGACCAGAACATGCAGCATCTCGCTGCAGCGAACAGGTGCATTTATAGAAATTCTCCAAAGTAAAGAAATATCCGAAGTTTGTAACTACTGCGCATCCAACAAGCTCCAAAAAACGCAATCTTCTGTCTAAATTGTTAAGATTGACAACATGCCACAATACCGAGTCGCATACGAAAGTAAAATGACTATAAAAAATTGTACCTTTTCGTGTAAGATGTTGAAAACAAATTATAAAAGTCTGGCAACATGCCGGTTTCCTATGATCTTTACAACTGTTTTCTTTCGTATGACATTGCAACGATCGAGTACTGTCATAGCTCAAATTGTAGTTTCGACAGTCAACTAAGTCAAATGTAGCAAGTGGATCACCTTTTTTCATACGTGGTGGAAGTAGATCAAACAGCGACACACGATGTGTTCCACTATCTGCTGCTCACCAAACTCACAGAGTAGTTATTCGTCGGTTTTCCATTTAGTCGGCCGTATCCGCGCCAAATTAGCCTTTCAAAAACATAGTTAAGTGCTGTCCACTGTCCCCGTGGTAAGCAGAAGCCTGTGACAGCTTCAGATCGGTCAGACCTTCAGCGAAGTCATACAAGGAACGTCACATCATGCCTACGATTCAACCCAGAGATTGTCTACTACTTTCCAATAGGCCATCAGCGATGAACCACGAGTCAGCAAGGTTAAAGCAATTTCAGTCCTCTAGGTGGCGCCGGACTGATTTCATGGTGGATCTGCAGACCCGGAATGTGTAATAAAAATTCTGCCTCAAGTCTATTTGCAGACATTCAGAAGTAAGTTCTTCGAAAGAATCGACCGACAGGCGTCACAACAGCGCTTCATTTCTACTGAACAGTTGCTCTGTATGCGGTCGCAATTCGACGAAACAGCTGCACGATCCGCATGAATGGACCTCGCCCCACGATACACGTTTGGCCCGGACAGGGAAGGTTTTATCTTGGGCGTTCGGTTGCCGTTCTGATGATATTCGTTGCGCTTTTACTGGCAACAGGGAAAACCGCATGAAGGTTAATTCACTCAGTCAACGAGAAAGCTATTTTATCTACTATTTTAAAATATTATTTACCCAGTATCAGAAGTTCCGTTCATCTAGCCCTGAGTCGTCAGCCTACATCGGAAGACACACGACTTGCTAAAAGTTTTCGTCATGCTTTCTTCAGGAATCAATATGGAAATTAGCTTTCAATGTTTCCGTTTAAGATTGTAATCAAAATGTCCAGTATGGATTACTGACAGGACGCAAAAATTACATACCTTGATCTTACAATCCATACTTGCGGAGAGCAAAAGATGGGCGGATCCCGGAAACCACCGGATGGCCTGCACTCCCTTCGTGTGCCCTGTCCATGTATGTATCTGCTTTTTGGGCACGAAGCAACGGTC